ATGTATGTATGTAATGTATGTATGTATGTATGTAATGTATGTATGTATGTATGTAATGTATGTATGTATGTATGTAATGTATGTATGTATGTATGTAATGTATGTATGTATGTATGTAATGTATGTATGTATGTATGTAATGTATGTATGTATGTATGTAATGTATGTATGTATGTATGTAATGTATGTATGTATGTATGTAATGTATGTATGTATGTATGTAATGTATGTATGTATGTATGTATGTATGTATGTATGTATGTATGTATGTATGTATGTAGTGTATATGTAATGCAATGTATGCATGTACGCATGTATGTGTGTGTGTGTTTGTGTGTGTGTGTGTCTGTGTGTGTGATGATGGCACCGTTAGAGTAAAATAAAGTGGCTGAGAGAAAATCAAAGCAAAGGCTTCAGTCGTGTAGTGGATAACACGTGAGTCCTTGGGAAGGATAATCGCGGGTATGAATTCGACCTGACCTGAGATCCAAGTTTTGTAAATATCTCAACATCAATGATACTGAGATATTTGCAAAACTCTGGATCGCAGGCGTCTGCCGTGGGGAAGGAACGTGCCACTGTCCTTTCCGGGGAGTAACGCGTTCACCCACACTTTATGCGGGTCTTTCGTTTCGTCTGTTTCTCAGCTAGTTCTAGCGTTCATTTGCCATCAGCAGTCACCCGTCAACGGGATTGATCCGGGGAGCCCAAATCGGCATTGAACCCAATTAAGTTGAGGCTATAGTTATAATCACAATCTTTTTTATATTATTTTTATATAAAAAGGTTAAGATTATCTCAACATCATTGTGGTTCTGTTCCACATAATATCCTGTTATGTAAAAGTAATTAGCAGTAGATAAATAGTTAAACGCTGTGATCGCACATTTATTCAGTTTAGGTTTTTATTGGTATTGCTCATCGTGGTCGTCTCAATTTGTTGTCTGAAATGATGCAGTTCCCTGTAGTACAAATGTTTAGAAAGGTAAGCTCTTCGTCGAAGAATGTGGTTAAGTATTCTGAAGGTGTTAATATTGTTTTGAATTTGTTTCTATGCCGAAATGTTATTGTATTTTCCCTCACTCATGTTTGGATAATGTCGTTTTTTCCATACCAGATGAAGGGGAAGCCCGAGTTTCCTGATAACATACAAGGATCTGGTGATGTTCTTTCCCACCTGAGTGAGTTTTCTGTCGTCTTGTTTGCTTTTTATCAGTTACTCAAGTCTGACTTTTGTCATTTGCTATATTTTAAGCGTCTTCATTCGACCACCAATGTGCAGGAGGTACCGTACACATTTCCATGTTGCCAAATCCCTCTCATTTAGAAGCAGTAAACCCTGTCGCAATGGGCAAAGCACGTGCCCGTGCTAGGTAGTGTTTTTTTGCTGTTTACTTTCGGATTTTTAAAATCAACTATTTTTTATTGCGAGCTATTGCTTCCGTATTTCAGGTCCTTGGGAGTTGGTGATTACTCGAAAGATCGTTCGGCTCGAGTTGGCGATGGAGTATTGACCGTTCTAGTACATGGTGATGGAGCTTTCACTGGGCAGGTATAGCAGTTCACAATAGGGTTTTGAAGAACGTTTCGAATTAGAACCTCATCGTTTTCGTGATTGAATCAAAGCTTATGAACTTTCAGGGTGTTGTCTGGGAATCGATTTCGCTTAGTCGAGCGCCTCATTTTCGGATTGGTGGCACTATTCACCTAGTCATTAATAACCAAGTGGCTTTCACTGCCGAGGCACATATTGGTCGTTCTTCGGAGTTCTGTTCAGGTGATTACTCGATCATTCCTAGAGCTTCCTACAATTTCTGATACTATGCCTGTAAATTTTGATGAGAACACCATTGGAAATATCGGTTTAGAGTATCGTTACATTGTCCACTAGTACGTAGCAAAACGGCGGTCGTTAGCGTAGGAGGAGTTGCGGAGTCGTATAGTTAGGCACCGGGTCGGGGTATTTTTGTTACCTTCATAACAGTCTTCGTGCTCTTGAAAGCTTCCCATGTCTTTAGCTTCCTGCTCAAGTATGACGCTGTGTTGTTTATTATGTTAACCTCTATTCCCCAAGTATACAAATAGCCGTACCATTCGTAATATTCACTCTTGTGAGCGTAAATGGAACAGTAGAAACGAGTCCATCCTTCGTGAACATTTATTTTTAGGGATTCAGTCGAAGATCAGTCCTTCCGTAGATGTTCTTGGAATCAGTGACCATTTGTTCTGATAAGTGTTCCACTAAATTAATGCTTGCTGTTGCAAGACCGATAATCATCACAACGAAATGTAGTTGCCGATCATCAACTTTTACTCCCATGTTCTCCCATTCCAGTGTGCGCATAATGTTCTCGAGGCTGGCGGCGAATAATTTTGGCGAGGTGGTATCGCGTTGGCCAACTCCACTTTTGACATCGGTGTTTTCATCCTCATAGGAAAACAAGACTTTTGTCATCGGTTAGGCAAAACGTTCGTTCTACTGTGATGTAGTCTTTTTTTTTGTTATGGTACTGTTTTGGGAGACTCCCACGTCCAACGTCGAGAATCGAAGTGTTAGAATTGTGAATTACTATGAATGGTCTTCATCATCATGGTAAGCTCAGACTGTTCACACTGCCTCCATTCTGGTCCGTTGGTCACGATGTGAATCTCCTAGGTTCCATCATATCTTTGAACTTGTCAGTGGTGAGTTACAAGGTGCAGTTTTTGCTATAGAATATCACCGTGCCCAAGTGAAACGCTTCAAACTTTTCCAAGAAGAACTGTGAGGCATATATGGCGAAGTTTATCAAAACCAGTTTTGGTTTACATCTCTATAACTGCAGGCTTGCGATTCAGATTATTGCTTGTATGAAGGTATCTGAAGTTCATAGCCGAATCTATGTTGAATAGGACGGCAACTCCGCTGGCTCTTATATTGTCGCAGGTTCCGATAAAAAGTTCCTCTTTGGTATTTTCTCTGGTATGCTAGTGTTGCATATATAGTATAAGTAGAGACCGTCAGACCCAGATTTAGGCATACCACAGTATTCCTGGAATTTAAGCAATCCCTCTCTATTCGTTTAACCCAAAACTACCGTGTCGATGGTTTTTTAGGGCTAACAGGCCCATTTATTTTACTGTTTCATTATCGTTACCTATGGATAGCGTGCTGAGCAGTTTGCTTGGACCTAGACATACTCACGGTAGCTTGATGGTATTTCGTAATTGCGTATACATATATATACGTGCATGTGTATATACATTTATAAACAATAAAGAGTAGTAGCATGTTCTTGTGGGACGATGGAAAAAGCATTTCCTCAAACTTAAAGTTACTTAAGGTTGGTTCATGTTAATGTGGTTCTGCTTAAACTCAATTCCCAAGGAAGAACGTTCTTCTACACAACAGTTTTTAGATATGGCGAAGGCTTTTGAATATCCCATTATACACGTCAATGGTGACCACCCGAATGTAAGTTTGTAGTATAAGCAAAGGTTGACTAAATCCTTGATGATTATGTCAATGCCAAGCTGTCTGTATCTTCAGGACGTTGTTAAGGCTACGAGATTAGCCATGGCTTATCGAGATCGCTTCCGAAAGGATGTGTTCATTGATTTGGTTTGTTATCGTAGATGGGGGCACAACGAACTCGATGATGCTTCCTTTACTCAACCTGTCATGTATAAGGTAAGTATACGTTAAGATTAAGAATTTTTCCTGAGAACTTTTTCATGGCGTATTTTTCACTAGGTAGTGCACAAATTCCGCGATGCACATGGGATCGACCCCTGCGCTACAAGCTCACCAAAGCTTCCATGCCTCCGAACTATACGAGTTGGTACCAAACTTGTCTGGGAGGATAGCTGCATTGGCTCGATACATGAATAGGTCCGCGAGTCGTTGTAAAGGCCAGATATACATTCAGTCACCTCCAACGATGCTTAGTGGAGTCGAATGCATGGCGCATCCCTCAGGGATTGATCAGCGCCTAGAGCTTTATCTTTTTTTTAATGCACCAATATTTCTATCTTTTGTATACGCACACACAGCCTATTATTTCGAAAAAGTGAGCGGAATCAAAATTACGGTGGTACTCAGCGTTGACATTTCTTCTTTCATCTTTTCGCAGTGCTTATGTTCAAATGGTCCTTGTATTTCTAATGAATAGGAATAGGAAAAAATAGGAAAAGTCCCTGCAATAAATATCCGTAGACTACAGTTTTTAGACGGGTCTTGTTAAGGTTATTCTCAAAATCATTGTCATTGTACCCGTTCAGGTGATTACGAACCGTGATTCTGTGCCACGGCAATATGCGGATGAATTAATTAATCAAGGGTTGCTCACAGAAGATGATGTGAAGAAGGAAAAAGAAGCGCATACGGCAAAATTGATGGATTCGTTTCGTGCTGTTGATTCGACTCCTCCTCTGTACGTTTTTTTAAAATGTGTTTTGTAAATAACTTTAATAACCGTGAATTTATGTTTGGATCCAACGAAATGAATGCATTTTGAAACCATTGACATTCATAGGCTAAATATTGCGTGCTTGCTATGCTGGATGTGCATTAGGTATGAATGGTTGGTCAATCAACCTTCTGTTATTGATGAGCTAGGACGAGGCTGGTAAAACAAACTTTATTGGGTTACGTTTTGACGTCGTGGCCTTCCTCAGAACCGATGAATCACCACATCGAGAGTGCGAAGAACTGTGGATATCGACTCGGATCATCGACTCTGAGGAAAGCGAAGATGTCGAAACGTTAGCCGAATGAAGTTTATTTTATCAATCTCATGTTAGCTCATCAGTGAAAGAAGGCGCATTGGTAATTGATACTGAGGCTAAAGGAAAGTCGGTTTGTGTAGTATGAGTGTTCAATTTGGATTTAGAAGTTAGATAGTTTAGGGCGAATCACCTAAGTGGCTATTGGAAAGGCTTTGTACAGGCACCAGCCGAAGTGCAAAAGTGGGATACTGGCTGTGATATCAATGTGCTCAAGTATGTTGGGGCTGCTTCTGTTTCAACCCCAGAAGGATTTGTGAGTTTTGTGTCCTTCGAAACCTTGAAATTACTATTGTGTTTGTACGGGCCAAGATATTTCTTGGGAAATTACTTTTGCGTTGACCTATACAGTGTTTTGGCCTTCTTAAATGATATCATGTTCTGTGAAAGTTCCAGTAAGGATGATCTGCTTTTGTACAAATTTCTTAATCCATATGAGGATGAAAGTAGTGATGTTTAGAATGTGCATCCACATCTCAAAAAGATGCATTGCGAAGCACGTATTCAGAAGGTGACGGCAGGCGAAGGCATTGATTGGGGTACTGCAGAAGTTAGTGATTGATTCTATAAATTTTGAAGAGGACTTAGTATATTCAAGTAGAGGATTTCGGTGTTCTCTTATTTAAAGAAGCTGTTCAAAACATCCCAAGAAGGTGCTTAGCTGGAAAAGAAGAAAAGGTTTTTGGTATCTTCATAGAAATTTTCAATTTCAGGCGCTGGCCTTTGGATCACTTTTATTGCAAGGAAACGACGTACGCCTCAGTGGCCAAGATGTTGGTCGGGCTACTTTCAGTTTTAGGTAAACACTTTCGGTTTCCATTTGATTCTGCTGGTTCAGATTTGAAATCTCATTTTTTCTACAATTGTTCTAACATATTCGAGGCAATGTAAATTGATTTCTACTCATGTGCGGCAGTCGACAAAGTTTTGGAAATAAGAACATAGTTTTTTTAATTTTTGGAAAGGTCTGTCTCAGCTCGTAGTAAAGTTTGCTATTGAAATAAGTATCATTAGAATGCACAGAGATTTGTCAACATAACACAAAGCTTGCTGTTTTCTTCTGTTGAGATTTCTTTAGAGCGCGTCGTTCTTCTTTCTTGACTTGTTTTATCGACAATTATTTTAAACATAACTGAGCAAGCGAAATCTCGCTTTCACCAAGCTCGATGTTATGGCATTCCCAGTGTATCGCCGGTCTTGTTTCCTACTGTTCTTTTCTTTACTTTGAAATTTTTAATTAATGTAGATAGACATATATATATATTATATATGTGTGTATTTATATATGAATACGTATATACATAAAGTTTCTGGCGTCCATATATCACTAAAGAATGCTTCATGAATTCGACTTCATTAAGGTAGATGTGGTTGACCGTATATATATATATATATATATATATATATATGTTAGTATAGGGGTGCGTGTAGTACAGTGGTCGGAAGCGCCGTGCAATGTACATGGGACCTATCCCCACGCCCTAGGCTCACTAGTCCCTTCATACCTCCGGGGTCGGCAAATTTGTACCAGACTTGTCTGGGAGGATAACAGCACTGGATCTATACATCGGTAGGCCACTGCGAGTCATTGTAAGGGTCAGGTATGCATTCAGTCACTCCCAACGATGTCTAATGAAGTGTTATGCATGGCGCATGCCTCAGGGATGGATCAACGCCGAATTTCCTTTTCTATTCCTTAGTAATAATTATTATTCTTTTCCACGACTTTTTTTATCCGTAAATGTAAATGAAAAGCTACACATCTATTAATATTTGCAGTGTGTGATAATGAGCTACTGTGTAACATCAACTATCTTAAATTTAGACATGCTATGCTAGTTGATTACGAGTCAGACCTCACTCATATTCCACTAAACTTTATTTCCAAGGAACAAACAGGATATCTTGAAGTAAGCGCCCACAGTTTTGTTACGGCCATTTTTTCTTAATTTTTATATAAACGACATAAGGATTAGCATGCTCAATTTCTATTTAAAACTCTGTTTAACACTTAGAGCCTGATGCCTTATTCTGTGTATCTGTTATATCTAATCGACGTTGAGTTTCCTATCTCAAACCTGTGAATTGAAGTCAGTTCATGTCAGTCGAAATAACTCTTTGCTAATCGATCACACTGCAATTCGGTTTGTGTGTGTATTTTGTTAGTGGTTTTTATTATTTTCGTATCTAGTGTGACCTCTAGTCTCCTAACGGTTTACCGCCTCACCGTGGTTGGGTGTTCCTGGATGTCTGGCTGCGATGGGATTTATTTCTCCGGCAAGGTCTACCAAGCTAAGAAGGAGTCCGGCGTTTCCACCAGGAAGGCCAGCTAAGAGTAAACCAATATCAGGATCCACCACCATCCTGGTATCAAAGTCGCATAGTGGCAAATCTCCCCTTGATCCACAAGGGCGGCGGCTGCCTGTGGAGGTGATGACTTAGGGCAAACTTTAGCCAGGCTGACCTCGCGACTGTAGGGTAACGTAATGGCTAAACCAGCAAAATTCCGAAAAAGTGAAGAATGTGCTGGCCCACTCACAACCAGTCATGATGGGTCGTGCAGGTATCCAAGTATCCAAATGTGACCTCTAGATACTGCTGCGTATTTTCCCGTTTTTTTCGTCACGCCTACACACTTCAATGTCATGAGAAAAGGAAAACTTGTTCGTCATCGTACCACAGTGCTGTCAGCATTGATTAGTCTACTTCACAGCGTATGCTGAGCGTACTTCGACATCCTCATGTATTTTATAAATCAACCCATTCCATATGATAACCGTGAGTTGTCATAACGATTATAGATGAAGGAATAATCAAAATCGTCAAGCGTTACCAAGCCGTACGAAACGGGGTTACTTCAGAATATTTTCGAAAGTTGGAGATTGGGTGAGTGCTTGGATACCTTCCAGAGTATACACCAGAGATAGCGTTGAACTTATAGATCTGCCATTTTATCGTAACCAGACGTTCCCATATTTTGAATTCCATTTTTGTAAAATTCATCTGCCGCTGCATTCAAACCAGTCTGATAAGCTTGTACTAAAAAGGTTTTTCGCATGTTATTAAAAATAGAGAGTAGTTTTTCTGGGCAGACATAGATACAAGCGAGAAAATAAGAAGATTACAAAGAAGTAAAGCAAAGAAGCTTTGTGCTGGAAAATAGGCGTCAGCAACGAAATGAATTGACATTAATTCACATCGGCTAGTCTACCTTTCAAGTTTCAATAGAAATCCATCATATGGACTCTAAGTGTTGACAAAGTTTGACAACAGATGTTTTGTTTTGAGGTTTTTTTTATTATTTATTAATTTCTATATGTTTTATTGTCATGTGAAAGTAGAAAACCTAAATTTTTGTTTATTTTTCTTATATCCAATGGTGACGTAGGGGTGCTGCTGGACGGCAGAGGTAGTTGAAAATATTTGCAGATTGCAAACAACATCTTATCCGAAGAGGCTGTGCTTGGCTATGAGTTCGGTTACTCTTTGGATCATCCGCGGCGGTTGTGTGTCTGGGAAGCTCAGTTTGGAGATTTTTGCAATGGTGCACAAATCATTATTGACACATTCCTCAGCGGTGCAGAAAGTAAGAGGTTATTTTTAGTCTATGATAAGATCTGCAAGGACATCTGTCTCCTTTATATGCGCATTCTTTTATGAGATATATACTTTTCTAACGAAATTCTGCATGGAATCTGGTGAAATGTCTAATGGAACTTGATGTGCATTACACTTTCTCTGTAAGGCTCGCTAACTGAGCTTATTATGATAACTAAAGGCCACTGATGGGAAATTTTACTCCAAGTTTTTGAACAAACCATGCAGAATAGAACTAGCATAACCATAGATGAATCCTTGGCTTGAATATCTACGTTTATAAATATGGAATAAGCCAATCTGATCCAGTAACGGTATGAAATTCTCCACTTGCAGATTCGTTAATGTGATTTCGCAGGTAAATGGCTAACGCAGTCTGGGCTAACCTTGCTATTGCCGCATGGTTTTGATGGAGCAGGACCAGAACACAGTAGTTGCCGAATAGAGAGGTTGGTCATAAAGTTGTTTCGAAGGGCTTTCTGAGAAGTTATGGTGTGGCATAAAATATAGGAGAAGTAACATGGTAGGTTGCGAATATTAACGGTAATAATAAGGGATAATATTTTAGTTGTTTAATAGTTCCAAAATTGCTAAAATGTTTTTCGCTTATTGGTCAGTTACGATTATAAAGTAGCAAAAAATGTAAATTTGTTAAGATTCTTGACATTGTGTAATTCTCGTGAAGATCAAATTCCTGTAGACGGCGAAAATGTGAATTTTCGAATAGCGAATCCAACAACATCAGCACAATACTTTCATCTTCTTCGAAAACAGGTACTGTGAAAAACTTTCCCTTACTCATGTTAACCGGATTTTCAGTCACCAGCGCCATTGTAATATTGGGGAGTTATTGCTACTTCCAAGGTTTTTATGCTGTAGGTAATGAATGAACGAATGGTTAAGCTAGGAAAATTCTGACAGAAAGTAGATTTTTACAGTAGAGCTAGAGAGAGCAATTAACTAGAACATAAAGAAAGTTGGTTAACTTTTTAAAACTGTAGGCCCAGACTCCGTGGCCATGTATTAGTGTCATTATCACACAACACTGTTGCCATTTTTCACGAAGCTGAGTTAATTAATGAGTTTTTCCGTAGAGTGGCATAACAGAAACAGTTTTTTCTAGTTTATTTTGGGCGCATGTAGCGCAGTGGTCGCAGGCGCCTTGCATTACACGTGGAGCGGTCCCCGTGCCCCTGGTTAAGCAATCCTATTGTGCCCCCGGGGTCGGCAAATTCCTACAAAACTTGTCTAGAAGGATAGCAGCACTGGTTTGTTACATCGGTAGGCTACTGCGAGTCATTGTGTAGGGCAAGATATGCATTCAGTCACCTCCAACGATGGTTACTGAAGTCTAATGCATGGCGCATCTCTCAGGTATTAATGCCGAGAGCGCTTTTTTGGTTTACTTTGATTCTTCTTCATTTCACTTCTACTTCGTCGAAGGTGACGTTGACATTGAGATTTAGTATGGTCTTGTTATTTTTGCTTGTGATTTGAGGATCCTCTCCGCTTTAAAACATTATATAGCAGGATTGTTTTTGAAGAAAGGATCTCTACGTTTAAACTAAAGCATGATAAATCCTGAATTGAAAATGATCCAAATGCGAAAATGTCTAGTGAATGTCAGTAATCCTTTTAACGAGAATTTACTGGTTGTGTGAATAGACAGTAACCGCTGTTTTTTTTTGTTTTGTTTTGAAATAGTGACAAAATTTCAGCTAGGAACATTGACAGTTTTCTTCGTTTATCAAAGTTCAATGTGGTATTGGAACCATTTTTCATTGTAATTTCAATAAAAGGCATCGATTGTTCATACCGAGGTTGAAGATTGGTTGGTTTTGAAAAGCACTGAAATCTTGTTGACATCTTATTGACAAGCGGTAGCCTACCGATGTAGCAATTCTATGCTGTTATCCTTCCAGACAAGTTCGATATCATTTCGTCGATCCGGGAACGATGGAAAGCTTTTTGAATTTTGGCTTTGAACCGTCAACGGAGCCAGTGTGTGTGTGGTAGGGTACTTCTAATCACTGCACTACGGCTGTGCTCATTATTTATTAAAACTGCAAGGTTTTCCATGCATTAGTTGCTGTTTCTTACCAAATGCTTTGGTTGTTCTTCATTGGAGAACACCATCGAAAAACTCTAGTTTTCAGTACATAATTGCGTTTTGTTAGTTGCAAGTTTATCACCTTCTATCATCAACCCTAAGTTACTTATTTGTCTTTCATTATAGGATGGTTTTTATCCTAAACATTCCTCTTTCGCAGTAGTCTCGTCAACTGTTGTTTAAATAAATGTTAGGCGATGATGAGGTAAAATTATAGATTTATATATCTTGAGATACATTTGGGGCTTCTACGAACCTTTCTAAATTGTAAATTTAAAATTTAAAGTTGGATAAACCAGATAAGTGCTGAACTATTTTATATTCTCCACCGTTACTTGTACATTATATCGTTCTTCATTTAGAAACGATCAGTAGGGTTCAGTATAGAGACTTTGTAGTTAATCCTGCAGTAGTCTCTATTTGTGAAATCGAGCCGACAATCACATCCAGTCATCCTTTTAAGCTTCTGATTTGAAAAGAATTGTAAAATGAGATGTTCTTTTTAGCATAACATCCATTCTGGGAGAAGTGAGTTATAATGACTCTCATGGTAATGCAGTATTGAAGATATCAATCTTTGGATTTTATGCAACGTCATAACACTGTGAAGATCTGTATATCTTCTGTTATGGTCTGTATCTTACCCCTGCAAAATTTTCATATCCAGCTACAGTTTTTTCTTAAGAAAAGTTCTTAGAACAAAGTCTTTAAATTTCGTCATAAGTACAATTTAAACCCTTCATATCGTGCAAGTCAATTCGTAAAACTGTTTGACGTTACCCTACAAACATTATCACGGACTTCACTTTGCGATTCCCTTGCGCACGTAAATCTGGTTTCATGTTAGGTTCGATTCTGAGCAGGCGTCATTGAAGGTGGTTTAAATTGCCACCTAGAATGATCGGTCATTTTTCGTTCTGTTAATGTGGAAACAGAGGAATCGGTAATGATCGTTAAGAACCAGTTCCAACTAAAAATCAACTGTCAATCGTCATTGGGCTATTATTTTTTGAACGGCATGTGCATATCGAAGGATGTATTTTTAGTGACATTCGCTTGGAATCATTTAGTGCCTAGAGGGTCATTAACTAAAAGGGTATTTTCTGATGTTGTGGTCAGTTTTCGTCCATAATTCCATCTAAAACTGCGAATGAGAACAGAAATATCTTGTGTTGTCATTTCAATTTGAATTGTAGTTATCCAAATGAAAAGCATAATTAAACGCTTATCTTGATCAATCCTGTTCGGATGCCCTATGCATTCGTCCTTATTTATAGCACCGTAGAGATGAGCGGTGCGAGTTGCGCAGTGGTAGTGCTCCCGTTCATTACGATCACTGGTTCGAACCCACGCGGAGCCAGGGGAAACTTTCACCCTCGAGGATCGAGAAATCGGTTTAAAAATGGAAAACTTCACTTCCTCGAATGCAAATGAGGATGCTCTAGGCTGGTTATCCCAGGACTTCAGGGACAATCGATTCGACCTTAATGACGTTCATAACGAAAGCGAAAATTCTCAAAAAACAGCTCAACCCACGCGCAAAATGTTCGAAGAGCTTTACGGTTGGTGGATGTTAGGAAAGCAATCGAATGCAAGGAGTACAGGGATCCGTTAAGTGTGATACATTTGACGTTGGATCATGTAGTAAAGAATGAAATTATAGAGATGTTTGAGTGCGTATTTGCACTATAGAGTGATTAACAGGGACCTGCCAACGTACCAACTCACTGTTTTTTCTCCTTAGAGACAAGTTTGATACCGATCTGTCGACTCAAGAATGGATGGGATGCTTGTTCACTCTGGCCACGGAATCGAGCTAAAGGTCACGTGTATTATACCTCATGGCCTCTAATTACTGAGCTAAATGTGCCCGTTGTCTAAATATTTTCGGGAAAAATGTTCTAAATATAGCGCTCTATATCTCGTCTGTATAGCCTTAAGCACACTTCTGATCACACGCAAATGAATTTTTGTTATCCTTTATTGTTCTTTTAGACGACTCGCCTTTTACATCTACTCTGCGGATTCCAGCTCTTCTTGCAATCAGTTCGTTTCCTCCCATCCACCATTGACGACTTTTTTCCAAATTTTCATGTGTTCATTCGGTTGTCGTTGAATACCGATCGAGTCGATTCTGCCTGGAGTCCTTAGATGTAATAGCTATGTTAGAGCGTTCCAGTAATAAATTTCCTTCAATAAAAGATAACAGCAAATTGTAAGGGTTACATTTATGATCTGAATTCTCTTGCTCAGAAACGACTTTTTTTTGCTAGACATTAAATCCTTATAAAAGAAAATAGCTCGTTAAAGTACTCCATTAATGATTGCTTGCATTTGCGTGACTTCCTTCGCTAGGAATGACCTTGTTCATTCTTGGTTTACGAGTGGTGAATGTTTAAATTATCTACTAAATGTCTTCCGATTCTCGTCTAACCTAATCAGTCTAGTTTTTTTCAGATAATAACTGTTTTGGTGTTTTATTCATATGCGACGTTCAGGTTATCCCCAACTATCGAAAGCCGTTAGTGGTTGTTTCACCGAAGATTATTCTTCGCCATCCCAAGGTAAGAACTATTTTTCCTGTCGTTGCTCAAGCAAGTTAAACCAAAATTTTGTTCCACGTCATTGTGAAGAATACTTGTATTATACATATGCGTATATTACTTAAAGTATTCTTGAATATCGGTCGAGTAGGTGGTAACAGCGACCCTCTTTGTTCAGTCACTTAAAGCCATTAACATAAAATATCGTCATCTAATTAGGATGCTAATCAGTACAGGCTGCAGTCCAAGTAGAGTGCGGTCATCATCTTGTAATCCGTTTCTAATACATTTTAATATGTATTGAACCTTTTACAAACTTCATAGTTTCCAGAATTAGTTAAGACAGAAACTTCTTTTTTGCATCCTGAAATCCAACTGAATTTACTTGTTGTTTGGAGTTTGTTCATAGTTTGGTTCACTGTATCAGTGTTTACTGAGCAGAATTTCCTTTTATGTAATTCTCATTAATAGAACTCCGACACTCTTCGTGCATTCACTACCACAAGAACTGTTTTAGTTACACGACATTCACCTGATTTCTTCTATTGCTTTACATTCGATGAAAATCTAATCCCTTTGCTTGCTATGCGAGATGTCGGGGTTTTATGTGATGACATCTTTGTTTGTTGCACTCGCGTCAGCTGATCACATTTGATTGGTCGTCTTTCCTGTTATTGCGGAAGCGGATGGCTTAGTAATGGTTAGGAGAACGAGAGCTGGTATGACAGCTCTAAAGATGAGCATCAAAGTGAACACCGCCGTCGTTTCTTTTTCATTGACGCCTTTGTTCGACCGTAGAAGCACGGCTGTCCGATAAGGCATCGAGTGTGCATTATAGAACACATTGTTGCTAAGTACAAAAAGTCTTATGAAGCGAAAAGCTTCAAGTGGTTGAGAACAAGTTTGAGCAAGGTTTTGTTGAAGTCATTTAAACGCAGTAGGAATGTTGTATCCATGGTCTGGACCGTATCTGGTTCAAGATTTTCGCACTCATCGCTCTTCTACTATCAGTAATATATCTAGTTAATGTTAGTGTCATTCGAAAGTCTCAGAAGTGTTTTGGGTTTTGGATTGTTCATTCTTGGCAGGTATATTGCGTTCACTAGTAAACGGTATTTGACAGAAGGTGAACATATCATATTTTGAAGGTGGTTTTTAGTTATACACCTGGTTTAAAGAAGTGATTTATGGGTCATATTTATTCATTTATACAGGGGACCCATTAAGAAATCTCAGAATCTTCCGAATAACGGTAATGGCAATGTTCTCATTGAAGTGACAGATGGTTTTAGTTACGCCAACAATTTCCATACTTTCCATCCATAATTTCCATACTAGCGTACCTTCGAGCTTTCCTAGTTAGTTATTTGGTTATTGGAAATGTTTAGTGACGGCAGCATATCAATATTTCTTGATTCCGTAATGGAGAATAACGGACTTATTTAGCAGTGCAAAGCAGTGGAATAGGAATGTGAATGGTTTATTTACATGATTCTTATGAACTGATCTTGTTGAGCTGATGCGAGGTTGGTATAAGTCTTCGTTATTGTTGTTGTTGTTATTGTTTTTGTCGTTGTTGTCGTTGTGTTTGTTTGTTGTTAGTGTTGTTCAAGATCAAGTCAACTCAACAAATTCAGTTTATGAGATCATATAAGTAAATATATCAACTGTTTATGTCAACGGTCATAGAAAGTCGCTCTTTTGAAATATTAAGTAATCTGGATGGTGTTATATGTAATGTGAGAAGATTCTAGCCTGGTTATGGATGACGAAATCGTTTGTTTTTATCTCTTCGGGAATCTGGCAGAGGCAAAAAGTCATTTGTTGATCTCATTCTTGTGAACTCTATTGGCAACGGTTATTGCCACTTTTTACTGTACCCATCCAAACGTGACGTTAATCTTCACTGAACCACGGGTTTAAAATTGTATTTGTCAAACTTTATAGACGCTCCATAAAAGGAAAGTGTCTGCATTCGTTTTACGTTGCTTCATGAGTTATCTATGCGTTTCCTCTCAGTTATTCAATTTTTACAGGTTTTTCTAAGGTTATCTAGTAGCAATAACAGCTTAGAAAGGAAAGTTCAAAGGTCGTTTCTTGTTTTTTAGACTACAATTACAGGAAGAAACTGAGAAAAGGAATCATGTAGAATAAAAGGATCCGCTGATTTCTTGCCTTGTTCCCCACATAAATCATCATCGCAGTCACGAAATCGACTAATTACTGTCTGTCTGTTCAGGCCGCATCCTCTTTGTCCGAATTCGCACCTGGAACGTATTTTAGGAATGTGATAGCAGATTACTCTTGTAAACCAGAACTGGTTACCAAGGTGAGTTAATGTGGCGCGCAACATAAAGGATCGTTTTTGTGCAGAAAGTTTTTACGGATGTTTAAAATTGAACAGCTACAGTACTCTTTACATCTACTACGCAGTTGCAACTGATTGCGAAACTAAAAGAAGAGATATTCGCAAAACTCCGGACCGCAGGTGTCTGCGGTGGGAAACGAACGCGCTATTGTCATTTCCGGGTAGCAACGCGTTCACCACCACACCATGCGAGTCCTTCTTTTTGCCTGCCTCTCAGCTAGTTCTATCGATCTTTTGCCATCAGCAATCACCCGTCAGCGGGATTGATCTGGGGAGCCCAAATCGGCATTGTACCCAGTTAAACTGAGGCTATAGTTATAATCAGAATCTTAACCTTTTTATTTACTGCCTATTCTTTTTAACGGCAGCGTATTTTGCGAAATATAACTACTATAATGCTGAGATATTTGCAAAACTCCGGACCGCAGGTATGATCTGGGGTGCCCAAATCGGCATTGAACCCAGATCAATCCCGTTGACGGGTGATTGCTGATGGCAAAAGATCGGTAGAACTAGCTGAGAGACAGGCGAAACGAAAGGCTCGCATGGTGTGGTGGTGAACGCGTTACTCCCCGGAAAGGAGAATAACTCGTTCGTTTCCCACCGCGGACACCTGCCTTTTGCAGATATCTCAGCATTATAGTAGTTATATTTCGCAAAATACCTTGCCGTTAAAAAGAATAGGCAGTGAATAAAAGGGTTAAATCGTAAAAGAAGAGAATTGAATCGACTTAGCTCGCCTCTTTATATAATGCTGTAAGAGGAAATGGATCTAAGATGAAATCACTTCTGTTGCATGATCTCTGTTATTCATCAAATGATTCCAATAGGAGCCAGTAAATTCCTTTCCATTTTGTTCCCGTCTTGTGCTGCTTTGGTAATGACTTCTGATCGTTCTAAGTTAGGAAAGATCTCTCAAGTTTTGCGTAGATCACTAAGCCATTTCATTCGGTTATGTTTTTTTGTTGTGAATCTCAATCACCTCATGTGCTTCCAATTCATCTGATACGAGCGTTTGGCGAAATAGATAGGTATAGATTACCTTCTGAATCGATCGCACAGTATGCATGGTAACTTACGTCAGTAATACATAGGAAAGCCAGAAATCAATTAAGCGCAGTAGAGACATGGGATTCCTTCCTTGATTTAGCTTACGTCTCAGGGCAAGCACATGGTCAATTAGGGTCCGCGGTCAATGTTTTATCTAGAACGGACCTCGTCGCATTGCGACTAACCACGAAGAAGCCCAAAATTTCAAACATGTGAGATTTTAAGCTCCACTCAGAGATCCGACATATGCTAGAATTCAGGTAAGGAAATGCTTAATGGTTGAGTAACTACTACTGGTTGTATAGACCAATGAAATAGCACAATATTTAGCTTGCCATTTCTTTCCTTTTTGCCTATGTTGAGCTGTGCTATTCCCATTATATCGTTAATAATAGAACAAAATTCCTACAAAAGAAACCGAATTGCTGCTGCTTCTCGTAGTGCTGATTTTCTTTTCCACTTAGGTAATCATCACCTCTGGAAAACACTGGATCGCTGTCGAAAAGGCGCGTGACGAGCGAGGGCTCAAGGATTCTGTGGCTATAATCCGACTGGAAGGTCTTTGTCCATTTCCTGTGCAGGACCTTCGAGAAGCACTACAGCTGTATCCTAAGGCAAAAAGTTAGTTAAGTTACGTCGTCATTTTGAAAATTTCTACGTGAGGGAGAAAACATCGGAGGTTTTAAATATATGACAAAAAATTATGAAACTACGGCAGTTACACTCATAGATATTATTCATATTCAAAGTTAACTCTGTTATATTTCTAAAAGTGATTCGCTATTTTTCTCTGCCTATTGTTTTAACTTACTTCCCTGTTCACTTGTTCTCTTCGCACCTTCTCTTCGCCATCTGCGTTCGTTTTCCAATTGACCTTTTAAGTGACCCGCTTAGGTGGTGAGATGGTATCAGTAAACATTAGCAAATCGACCAGCTGTGTTTTGATGTGTGAGATCACTTGAGATTAGTATAGGAGCAAGACAACTTGTACCGAATTACTGATCGAATACCTCCTGCACCCACCATTGAGGTGAAGATCTCTATTCGATTAGAAGACCCTTGCGCAGCTCGCACCAGTGGAGCGTTACGGTCGCGAATTTGTTTCTCAACGAGCGCAGGTGTTGGCTAACGCTGTTTACGAGGTAATGAAATGAGCTTAATAGTTCTACAGAACGTCATAAAAAAATGCAAATAGCGTCGCCGACTATTCCTCAACGACTGCGAAGCGAACGTTGCGAAAACAAAGGCACTGAATCTTCACGTATCTGCTGAAGGATCTGTGAAGGTTTTCAACACCACTTGGTTGACTTAAATGTATTTTATGCAGTGTTTTGGTTCAAACCACCAGCGTAGTGTTAAATACTACGTAAGTTACGTAAGCCATCGTTGACTCCATGGATGCTTATTTATGTGGCTGCGCAACTCTGTAGTTAGAGAAATTCAGCACGTCAGAATTCTTATGAAACTATACAGACTATGATCCCGAATCCTAGAAATTCGTATTTGAACTCCGTTAGTTTCGGTGGCAGACGTTCCGTCGACGGTGACAAATTTCAGCGAAGCTGGGCCAATGTCTGGAATTTTTGCAAATTCTTTTGTTTCTTTTTAACTGATGTTTCTAGGGTTATTTTCTTTGACTCAGTTCTCTGTTATTATTTTGGAATCCAACTTATTCGCTGAGTACTGTAGCTTATTCTTGGCATCATATGCATGTATTGTATTTTTGTTTCTGTGCGTGGTTTCTATAGGTGACATTTCTCAGTTCTAACCATTTTCACATGCATTGCATCGAGTAGCGTTTATTTGTGAAAGGCGTTATCAAACCATGGCGGCGAATAATCAAAGACAAAGTGACCACTTAGGAATAATCGACAAGAAGTTCCGTACACAAGAACGTAAGGGTATTACGCGTATCGATGTCATATCAACAATAGTGATTGGCTTAGCTGTTGCCGACTGATAGAGGTTTTGCGTAATTGAATCATTGGACACAGTAGTGTGAAAAAAGAACAACCAGGTAACGAAGAACTGGATAACTTCAAACTATAGGCGTATTTTTAATGGTGCTGAGATATTTACAAAACTCCGGACTGCAGGTGTCTGCGGTGGGGAACGAACGCGCTATGTCCTTTCCGGTGAGTAGCACGTTCACCACCACACCACGCGGGTCCTTCGTTTCGCCTGTCTCTCAGATAGTTCTATCGATCTTTTGCCATCAGCAATCACTCGTCAGCGGGATTGATCTTGACCATGCATATTTCTGTTTTTTTTTCTATATTTATTTGCATTATAGGATTTCTTATAGTTTATATCATAATTTCCAAAGATATTTTCGAATTATGAGATGTTGAAATTTCCGAACAGTATTTGTGCTTCCTCTACTTTCTTTGTGAAATGTTCATATTTTCAAAGTATTTTTAGAGTTCGTATGGTCACAAGAAGAGCCACGAAACGCTGGAGCATGGTCCTTCATCAGACCGCGATTCGAAAATTCTTTAGGAATTTCTGTTGGTTTTGGTTTTGATTCTTAATAGTTTTAGTTGATATCGTCTTTATCACAGTGACATTGTGGCGCCAGTGAAGTTTTTTATTAGATTTTGATACCTCTGCACTTTACATATTTGTTTAAAAGAAACCTTTTTTACTGATCCGTTAACTTAAACGATAATGAATATTAATGAACAAGTGAGAAGTACTTTTTGATTATAGGTATTTTTTGCCGATCAGTAAAGTTCACCGTTCTTCTTCCTTTTTTTTTTTCTTCAGTTCAATTCGTATTCCATTTCGGGAAAATATCTAGTCATTTTTGCGTCGAACAGTTCCTTAAGAGATTCCGGACGGCTTTTTTGGATGAACGAATGGTTTACGATTGTTCCGAAATAATGTTCTTAAAGGGTGCTCTTTGGATAGTACATCTTTTTTGGTTCCGCGGGGCTTCAATCGATGTTCTGTTTTGGTTTCTTGTGTTTTTATTCCCTCCTATTGTGTTGATGACACGTGTTCTATGTTCTTATTGGCAGTATTTGATGTCATAGTCAAGAGCCGAGTGAATAGAGTTGTATAGTCATCTAAACTGATTCAAGTTGACTGTGTGAGAACTGTTAGGAACTCCAGTATTCACTCGATAACTTAGTTACTTACCAGTTACCAGTAATTTTGTGGTGAGAAACCAATCCATTTCAAACTGCAAAATTTCCTTGAAAATCTTTCTCTGATAATAAGAAGAAAATCATGGGAATCTTTTCTAGATGATAGATTTAGTAGAACGTAGACCTACTTATTGGACAATTGTGCTTCCTCTTCTCTTTCATTGTCAAATTTTAGCCAGTATACGCCGGCAGACCGGAACTCGCTTGGACCGCGACGGCAATCGGTGAACATCACGCAAAAGAAGAAGAAGAAGTTATCAGAAAAACTTTTGAAATATAGGTCTTTTTCTGGATAATGTGGTTATTATCGGGGCATTTCTAGTTCCATTTTCTTCCTTTTACCAGTCTAGCTACCGTTATTAGTTACTGTTACTGGTCTAGTTATTTGATTTTCCCGGACGTTAATAGTATTGATACTTTGATACTAGTACTTTCCACTTAGATTGCATATCGGTATCGGTAAGTAGTTTTAGGGCTCGGCAATTGGTTATCGTACCGAGTTCACCAGCTCTGTCTTTGTTACTGTGATACTGGTCTTTATTTATTTTGTTCCCCATGAGTGTTTGGTTTATGACGAGTTTTTAATAGGAACGAATAGTGTTGCACTGGTATTGTAGAAACTACAAAGCTGAATCCTGTGAAACCATAATTTGTTATTTGTTAAAAAATGATAAATGGTTCTTTCAATTTATCAAATTTTCCACGACTACACTGATCGTCATAAAAATGATTGTTATACAAACTACGGAAATAGAGCAACCAGCGTTGTCCAGCTCCAGATTTTTAGGCCCTTGTAATTGTCTCGCTACTGGTTATAACTTTTCAGGATACTCTCCTAAGGAATTCACGAGAAAGTAAGTCGCCTATTGATTCCTCCCTTCTTGCATGAGTCAGATACAGACATGTTCTGAGTTGATCCTTGATAAGCCTGTTGTTCCTTTCGTTGTTTCTTTTTTTTTAAATCAAGTTAAATAGTGTCTTGCATGACCTTGTCAGCGTCGCTTTCCTTGGGACATTACCATCTTAGGACTGTCATCAACGAGGATAAATTTGAGGTCAGGTCGGCATTGAAACTGCATGTTGAGGAATGTCATAGAAGTGAAGAGATAGGAGACATTTTATACGGTGATTTCTGACTTCCTTCCGTATTCTCCTTCGAGTGTTTAATGGTTAAACTCATATAGTGTCACTTTTAGGTAAAATTGGTCTAAACCTACTTAAATAATGATGTAAAATTTGTGACTTCCATGAAATTTTCTTTTTAAAAAAATCAAGTTAAATAGCGTCTATGGCTTAGCTTGGTTTATCTTGATGACTATCATAGAATGGCTTTTGTATTGGCTGTCTGCATATGTCGTCATGTAGGCAGTTAGCAGGCTAGTAGTAATGCCGATCGTCACGGACGCAGTGCTGGTTCGGCCCCTCTCTGGATATACCAGGTCCCTCATGCTTCCTAGGTCGGCATATTGGTATTGGCACTATTTGGGAAAAATTCAAACTGCAGTCGAAGTGGAAACGCTCTGGCCAGATTAACTCAACACTCCAAGGAGAATCAACTCGATCAGCATTCAACGACAATAATGATGAAACGAAAATCCTTAAGTAGCAGCTAAAGACATACATGCAAGACTTGAAGACCTTTGTAGCTTATCGATAAGAGGAAAGGAATGGAATGCAAGAAGTGCTGGGATCCACAGATTAAATGTGAAAGACGGTGGTGTAGATATATCTATATATGGATGTATATATCAGTGTGCGGATGTGTATATATGGATATCAGCGTTTATTTTGTTAAATTTTTCCGAATTTTCAGCAGAATCCACTCTTTCTATCGCAGCGGTTACGGCAATTATTCGGCTACCCTCCTAGTCAACTGACTGGTGTACCACTACACAATCGACTGCCGTCGGTGCATTGTAATGAGGTTATCCCCGAAGACAACATGGTCATGGACCTCGCTTTCTAATGGAATTCAATTCGTCAGCATTTCTTCCATCGGCACTAGATGCCTTTTATTACTTTAGTATTTTCCACTCTGTATATGCCTCGCTATCAAAAACGAAACAACGAAAATTCGTCGCCCTAATATCTTAGATTTGAACCAGAATACATTTACAATATTACCTTCTGTTGAGAATTTCATTTGGAAAATGGCAAAGTGTTCGGTTTTAATCAATACCTGGAAGATGCCAAGCATTCGATTTCATCAGGAATCGTTAAAAGTGATAAATTTCACGTATGGCCTATAAAATGACATGCGGTGGCCTACTGATGTGATTAAGACAGAGCTGTTGTCCTCCCTGACAGTTCTAATCTCATTCTACCGACCCTGGATGGATGGCGGATTTGGTAAGCAAACTGCGGAATCAAATCAATGACCACGTGTTTTTTGCAGGGTAACTCGAGCCACTGCGCTACACGTTTCTAGGGTCGACTTTCTATTAACCTTGGCATTGAAACATGAATACGTCGTTTTCTTCTTCAGCAATCGCGAGGTTGTTAAACAGCATACATTTACTTCCATAGAAAAACACAATGCAATACAACAGTAGTTGACGTTTCTGCAGCATCGCCTTCTTCAGAGCCTGGAAGGGTATACTGATATACAATCTACTAGGCCAAACGCTTCAATAACACTAACAAAAAGACGAAAACTCCATGGCAATTACTTGATCAACAACTTCTCGAAAAACCCACCTCTTTTTCGTGACTTCCAATGAGGAAGTTTAGAACAGCTGATTATAGTTTGACATGGTCAACCATATCCAACTATAATCAGCTGTTCTAAACTTCCTCATTGGAAGTCACGAAGAAGCGGCTCTGAAGAAGGCGATACTGCCGAAACGTCAGCTAGCGTTGTATTGTTTTGTGTTTTTCTATGGAAGTAAATGTATGCTGTTTAAAAATCTCGCGATTGCTGAACAGGAAAATAGGAAGGATAAAAAAAGATAAAGCTCCCGGCGTTGATCAATCCCTGAGGGATGCACCATGCATTCGACTTCAAAAAGCGTCGTTGGATGTGATTGAATGCATATCTGGCCTTTACAATGACAGGCAGTGGTATCGAGTCAGTTCTGCTATTCTCCCAGACAAGTCCGGTACTAATTTGCTAACCTCGGAAAAATGGAATTCTTGGTGAATTACGGGCACGGAGACCGATCCATGTATGAATCAGAGGGCGCCTCTAACCACTGCGCCTTTTTTATTTATTTGCAAAGGATATAAATGAAATTCTTGAAATGGAATATATATACTTTAATGAGCTATTTTTAAAATGCCATAGGCGAGTTTTCCTTTGAGCAAGTGCTACTTACCGTGAAGAGTAATTAGACATAGGGGTGGAAAAGGGGTGAACGTGTCGTACGTTGTTTTCGGGGAATCCGCCTTAATTCTGAAAAGCCCTGGAACACATACAAAAAGACGAAAAACTCTATGGTAATTACATGATCAACTCGAAAAACTCACCGCTTTTTCGTGACTTCCAATGAGGAAGATTAGAACAGCTGATTATAGTCGCATATGGTTGATGACTGCAGCACTCAACATCAGAAACTGATGAGAAGACACGGGGCCATGTCGCGTGTGACCTTTGGGCATTCCTCTCTGCTATTCATTTTAGGGTTTTGGCATTTCTGCTACGTGCTTCTTTTTGAATTTTACATCAGTTTTCATAACAACTAAGGAGCTGAGTAACTGACACTGTCACTAACTGATGTTAATCAAAGCATAGTGAGTATCGACATCATCGACATTCGCCAGTTCTGCGCCTACTGGATGCCATCGTCCTAATGTCATTATGATTTTAACTGCACTATGACAGAGCTGAATTTGAATTCCAACTTCCTATAGTTGGCATTCGAGAAACCTCAAGCGCTGCTATTTCAAGAATCGAGGTAGCATTCAACGATATCCAAAACGAACAGCAAAAAAATCAACACCCTATTCCATTTTCAAAATTCGAACATATTCGCGGATGACAGGGTTCTTGTAAAAAGTGGAATCGAAGTGCTTCCGAAAATTTTGTAAGCCACCGACCTCCTCCTCTGTATTTCATTCCTTTTTATATATTTATAACCACCAGTTTATTCATATGACGTATCGTAACACATATTATGCACATGCTGGTACTTCGCTCATTGGATTCGTTGTCTCGCATCCATCCTCAGTGAAGGTCTTCGGATTTGCGTATAGTTTGAACTGTTACTCGAGCCTTTTGTTTTCTTCATGGATGTTTTTAAGTACTCGTTAAAGTTTTAACTTATTATTTACTGCCTACTCTTTTTAACGGCAGAGTATATATTGCGAAATGTAACTTTAATGATGTTGAGATATTTGCAAAACTCCGGACCGCAGGTATCTGCGGTGGGAACGAACGCGCTACTGCCCTTTCCGGGAAGTAACGCGTTCACCACCACACCATGCGGTTCATTCGTTTCGCCTGTTTCTCAGCTAGCTCTATCGATCTTTTGCCATCAGCAATCACTCGTCGGCGGAACTGATCTGGGTAACCCAAATCGGCAACGAACCCAGTTAAGCTGAGGCATACAAACCCTGCCGTTAAAAAGAGTAGGCAGTAAATAATAAGTTAAAATTGCTATTATAGCTGCAATCTCATCTTAATGGATTCGTAGTCGATTTGGGCTCCCCAGATCGATTCTGCGGACGGGTGATTGCTGATGGCAAAATATCAATAGAGCTAGCTGAGAAACAGGCGAAACAAATGAACCGGATGGTGTGGTGGTGAACGCGTTACTTCCCGGAAAGGACAGTAGCGCGTTCATTCCCCACCGCAGACACCTGCGGTCCATAGTTTTGCAATTATCTCAGCACTATTAAAGTTATAACTCGTTAAAGTGTTTTGATTGAAATTGATTTTTCGTGAAATTCCGAAACAGCTATTTTGGAGCCGATATAAGTCTTTACCACAGGCAATCGTTGTCCTTTGTGGATAGGAATGAATTTCATAAAAGTCTAGTATCAATTGGCTGACCTCGAAGAGATGAGGAACTCTGATGTGCAGGGGCGTGGTTAAACCAGCAACCAAACGTTTCTTGCACGGCATCTTTGATTACTTAATCTGCCGAGCCATTTTCGCACAGCATAAATATGTTTGACGTATTGTTTTTTATCGTCAACATACTGTGAAGTTCATATCGTAATTCAGGAATGGTTGGATCTGATCCAAGAAATAGGTATACGTTTTTTTTGTTTATGTGTTGCCTAAATGTCGAAATTCCCTGATCGCCCTTATAATTTTACATGTTCTTCATTATTCTGGAG